GCCCAGGGTGGGGGGGGTGCTGGATCTGAGCTAGCTCCTCAGAGCTGTTGGGGGGGGGTGCTGGATCTGAGCTAGGTCCTCAGAGCTTCTGTGGGAGGGGTGTGTGTGCTGGATCTGAGCTAGGTCCTCAGAGCTTTTTGGGGTGTGTGTGCTGGATCCTCAGAGCTTCTGCGTGTTGTTGTTTTCAGTTGGGGTCACGGGCTTTTGGCCCAGGCTGGCCTTGAACCTCGGTCTCGTGGTCTTTGCGATCTGTCCTTCTAGTGTAGCTGAGATTACAGGCAGGAGCCACTGTGTGGGCTCGGTGGACAGTTTACCCAGAGGGTGCCTGCGGGCTTCGGTGGCGGTGGGGTGGGCCCGGGCCGTGGGGACCCCCTCCCGGCCGCAGCCCTGGTGACGTGGGCCCCTCCTCCCCAGGACTGCCCCGCCGACGCCGAGGACTTCAGAGCCCAGCAGTGCTCCGCGTACAACGACGTCCAGTACCAGGGGCACTTCTACGAGTGGCTCCCGCGGTACAACGACCCCGTGGCCCCCTGCGCGCTCCAGTGCCACACGCGGGGCCGGAGCCTGGTCGTGGAGCTGGCGCCCAAAGTCCTCGACGGGACTCGCTGCCACACGGACTCGCTGGACATGTGCATCAGCGGCGTCTGCCAGGTGAGCTCCGACTCCCGGTGAGCCCCGACTCCCAGGCTACCCCTGACTCCCAGGTGAGCCCTGACTCCCGGTGAGCCCTGACTCCCAGGCTACCCCTGACTCCCAGGTGAGCCCCGACTCCCAGGTGAGCCCTGACTCCCAGGTGAGCCCTGACTCCCAGGTGAGCCCTGACTCCCGGTGAGCCCTGACTCCCGGTGAGCCCTGACTCCCAGGCTACCCCTGACTCCCAGGTGAGCCCCGACTCCCAGGCTACCCCTGACTCCCAGGTGAGCCCCGACTCCCGGTGAGCCCCGACTCCCGGTGAGCCCCGACTCCTGGTGAGCCCTGACTCCCAGGCTACCCCTGACTCCCAGGTGAGCCCTGACTCCCAGGTGAGCCCCGACTCCCGGTGAGCCCCGACTCCTGGTGAGCCCTGACTCCCAGGCTACCCCTGACTCCCAGGTGAGCCCTGACTCCCAGGTCTTTGGTTCTGGAATGTACCATGCTCATGCATACTGGGAGGAGCGTTTTCCCTGGGCTCGTGTTCCTGCAGATGAGAATGTAGATTCTATTTCTAGTGTAAGAAGTCTGTTAGAGAATGTTGCTAGTCTTTAACTCGAGATTTACTTCTGAGACGTGGAGGCAGAAGGTGGCGGCGTCTAACGTCGCGGCGGTCTCCCGAAGCCTCTGCTAGCACAGGATGCCGGCTGCTTCCGGGCCTGGGAGTCTGCATGCTGGCCAGTCCTCTGGGTGGCTGGCGGCCGGCCCTCGGGCTGCGTGGCAGGATGCGGCCCTCCCGTGGGGAGTGGGGCCTGGGCTGGAGCCCCACACATCTGTGTGGCTCAGCCGGGGCCGGTGGCCGGACTGGACTGCGGGTGTGGGGCACCGTGGCAGGCCCTCGCTCACTGGGCTCTGAAACAGGCGTCCAAGAGGGTAGATGTTGAGTACTCCAGGAAGTGCTGAGTCCTGGGAGGAGCTGCGGCTCCGCAGGCTCAGGGCTGGCTTTGATCTCCTGGCCCGATACTCAGGAGGCTGAGATCTGAGGATCCCGAGCTGTGAACCAGCCTGGGCGGGAACGGCAATGAGACTCATCTCCGTGGCCTTTCCTCTGGTCTTCCTCCAGCCGCGTGGCAGACGGGCACGGGAGTTCCTCCTGGCTTTATCCCACTTCCCTCCCTTCCAAGTTCACTCTGACTCTCAGCAACTCCAAAGCTTGAGCTTTTTGGAAATCACGGGGCGGAGGGGGCGTTGACGGGTAGAGCGGTGGGGCATGCAGTCCCGAGGCAGAGCGCCCGGGGCCTTGGCAGCGGCTGGGCAGAGACAGGCTTCAGTGTTGAACTTCCCATTCGTCTAGATCGCCTTTCCTTCATTGGTGATGTGTACACAGCTAATACCTGGGTTTCCCTCCAGAAACCAGCTCCCCGTGCGCCGGGCCTCAGATCGGAGCCTGCGCTCCGCCGGGCAGCTCACAGCTGTGGGACGGTTCCCCCACGTTTCTGCTGTGGTAACTGTCTATGGTAGCGCCCGTCCCGTGGGTGCCCATGTCGCTGGCCAAAGACACTGCGGGTGTCAGGACTGAGGGCGCGTGGCCCCCGAGGGCCGGGGCTGAGGCCCGTGAACACCCTGAGACCCTCCAAGGGCCGGGGCTGAGGGCTGAGGCCCCTGAACAGCCCTGAGACCCTCCAAGGGCCGGGGCTGGGGCTGAGGCCCGTGAACAGCCCTGAGACTCAGCTCCGACTTCTAAGGCAGCATGGCCGCCCTCTCTGCGGTAGAACCGAGTTTTCAGATACCGCCCATGGAAGTTGAGTCAGACTGCGTGTTCTGAAGGGTGCACTGAGCACCAGCTGGAGGCCCCTCGTGGGCTCAGTGGCACGGTGGGGAGCACCCCCTTTTCTGTTTTGACTGGTTGGGGAGTCCATGCGGGAGCGGAAGGCTGGCCGGCCGGGAGCCTGGCGGAGTCCCCGCCCTGCCTTCTGGCTCCGGGCTTGTCGCTGGTGCCTGTAGCTCCTAGCTTGGAGCTTGCGCTGAACTGCTTTGTAAGATAAGAGACCCTCTTCCTGACTCACACGCTGTAGCGGGTGTTACAAAAGCTGGTTATTTACTCAGTGGCAGCCGTGTTACTAGTGTCTGTACCAGGAGTGGCTGAAGGCCCCTGATGTGGCTGTTCATTGCCTCCAAGGACGCTCTCCTCCCCTCCACCTCCACCACCACCGCCCCTCCCCTCG